ATGAGTGTGTTAATAAAATTATTAGTAAATGTGTTAGTATGCTATCATTTTTCAAAAACATATTTCTCTAAATTCGTATTAGTTGTTTTGATTTTTTTTAAAACAAAATTAATATATATAAATTTCCGTCCCTCATGAAATGTTTGCTTTGACCTTCTTGTTTTTTTGTTTTTGTTTTTTTTTTTTTGTTGCTATTTTGGGATTCTTTGGAGGTTAATAATGTAAAATCAAAATGGCCATCCAATATGTGAAAATAATAACCAAAACTGTATGTGTTACGCATTAACTTTTTTTTTTTTTGGTATATTAGACAATGAGTTCATAAGGATGAGTTAAGATATTTTGTCTGTGATAAAACTTAAATTTATAAAATATATTTTCACATATTTAGAAGAAATATTTGAAATTATAGTAAGAAAAACTTGGGTGATTCAAATTTAACCATACACTATTTTTTTTTTTTTGGCACATAAAAATTTAACCACCTTTTTTTGTCACCTAAAATTATCATATACTATAATTTATAACAATGACATCATTGAATAGAAAATCTGGATGTGATGACATTTTTGTTATCCTTGGTATGTTGTTTTTTGTTTTAAAAAAAATAAAAATAAAATTGTTTCTATTTTTTTTTAAAAAAAAGAATATGCTTTTACTTGTTTTAGGCCATGGCTTCTGTCCAGTCCGGGATCGGATGGATCGGACTGGACCGTACTGTTGGATCCGTGGGGGCTCACCACGGGTCCCGTTTTGATAATCTGAACCGTTCAATGTGTAGAACTCGTCGAGTACTATATGCCTATAAAAAATCATGTTGATCGGATATCGATAGCTATGTGAACAAAACAGTTTTTTATCAACCGTTAATTTTTTCACCGTCCATTTTTTTTTTATATAAAACTGATTTGATCATGTAGCTATCGATATCCAATCAACGTGATTTTTTTTAGGCATGTAGTATTCGATGAGTTCTACATATTGAACGGTTCAGATTTTCAAAACGGGACCCGTTGTGAGCCCCCACAGACCCAACAGCACGGTCTAATCCGATCCTAGACTGGACAGAAGCCGGACCCTTGTTTTAACCCAAGTTTTCACCATCACTTCTTATTTCTACCACCAACCTCTATTATTACTAGATGTCAATGACCACTAGCCAGCTCTAGCCACCTTCTAGTGGTCACCTTCTAACAATTATCTCGTAACTTATTTAGTTACCGTATCCATGTACTCTCCACCGACAATCACCACTTTCAATAATTTATTAAGCAGAAAACTCTACTAATATTATCAAGCCACTCCTTGGTATGAGAATGGGATATATAATTAAAATATTAATCAAATTCCTCGTCAAGTCAACCAACAGCCCATCCCAATCCCAAACCAAAGTCTTTCAAAGTGCGTATAATAGGAATAACCCATCCCAATCCCATGTCAAAGTCTTTTTTAAGTGTATATAATGGGAATAAGAGTTAAATCAACAGAAACGGCCATAACAAGGACTTTCGTCGACTACCAACATATAGTTTAATCTCTTATATTGTTTTGATTTATAAATTTTAAAAAAAAAAATTAAAAAAAATACGTAAAAAGCAAGTAAAATATAATTATATTTCATTAATATTTTATTTATTTTTTATTTTACTTTCTAAATTCCTATTTAAATTTATAAATTAAATACAACCTTAACCTTAGAGTTTGGTCCAGCTAGTCCACACTTTATCGTAAGAAATCCTAAGCCGTGTGATGTTTGATCCAAACCAAAAGCCAATAACGATTGACCACCGAATAAGGACACCACAATTTTATTAGTCTACCATTTCTTTTGTACTATAAATATATGTTTCCTCACCCACTTGGAATTTTTATGGGAGAAAAAAATTATATTTCGAGTGGACAGTGAAAAAATAATATTATTTTTATAATAATATAAATTTATTGTATGTATGATGTAAGTGTTTTTTTGTGTTTGATGAAAGTATTTCATGTGTGTCAAATTTGTACAACAAAAATTTATAGTGCAATTATTTTAAGAAAATCTCACATATTTGTAATTTTCCTACTTTTATTTACATTGGAGTTTATCTTGTGAATGAGAATCTTTCAATCCCTATTGTGAAACTCGAGATACATGAATTGGGAGAGACTTTCTTCTGGTCCACATGTTGGAGATGTTGTTATTGTAGGGTCATGTAAGGCTTAACACAAGTCTTAGTTTACGATTTGATCTTTTCAATTTATTTAATTATATGTATAGATAATTCATATAAAAAAATTAAATTGATTTGAGAATTATAGTTATATGTTTTGATTTTTTTTGTCTATAAAATAATAATATTGACTATCAAAATGAGGCCCACGATAAATTTCACATAACCTGTGAGAGAAGTCAAATCACATAAATTATATATAAAAAATTAATAATTTGTCTTATATGATGAGTATTTGTTTTTGTTTTTTTTTTTAACATGAAAAAAGGGCTCTGTGGTGTCATCACAGCCTCGTGGGCCCTAACCCCGGGATAACCGGTTGCCAATCAGGAATTAACCCCCACCCCAGCAGAGGACAGGTTGTCGATGGGAGTACATAGCGTGTTTTCTTAAAAGATTTCAAACACCCCCTCTCAAGAATCGACCTTAGCTCAGTGCTAGGAAATGCACTACATTCGCCACCAAGCCACCAGCTCTGAGAGTATTTGTTATTAATTGACATTTACTTATAACATTTTCAATCAATATTTCAACTCATACTTGGTGCTTTAAAAAGTTAAAATTAACACTTCTATAAATTTCAACCAAATAGCCAAATGCGTACGTGGCATCTTCTATATCAAATTTCACATATCATATAAAATAATCAGAACATTTAATTTAGTAGTTGTATAGCATTGTTTTGTGATGTGAAATCAAGAGTTCAAATTCTTCTGTAAAAAGGAATTTGATATCATTTATGTTGTCAATTCTCTTAACAAATAACAACTAACTCTTGTTTATGTATACAATGACACATATAGAGCAAGAAATTTAAATAATAAAAAGTAATTTATAAATTCATTTGGAAACCGGGGTCTCTGTAATTAGTAATTTTTTATAAATATGATTTATATTTTACTAAAAAATGAGTAGTATTTTATTTAATTAATATAAAACATTAGTTGTATTTTTTTAACAGAGAACACTTGCTAGGTATGCACAAATATTTTGGTCGATCGGCTCCAGCTCTAGTGGGGGTGTAACTTGGGCGGGTTAAATCCGAATAATTTGAACGTAGTCCGAATTTTTTTTAAGGTTTTGACATGATATTTTTAAATTTAGTACGAGTTTGGACAAAAATTTAGAATTTTGAATTAAATTTGGATAAGTTTGGATAAAGATATCAAACAATCCAAACAATCCGAAATCCGAATTATATATATATATATATATATAAAAATATCAAAATACAAATTATGTATATAGATATATAAAAATATCAAATATATATATAAATTATTAACCATTATATGATATTAAAATAATTTAGATCATTAAATCATGTTGAATATATATTATATACACAAGTAATACAAAATCTTACATATTTTATTTACACTCATAAATTCTAAAGTCTACCAAAGCAACATTTCTCTTACATTATATAAATTATTTGTTTTGATATTATTAATTATTTTCTAAAAAAAATCTAAATAGAACCTAATTTTAATAAATTAATAATTTAGATGTAAATAAAAATAAAAAAATAAAATAAAATAATTGAAATTTATGTATAAATCGGATTTAACTCAGGTCAGGGTTGAACAAACAATCTTGAATTACAATTCAGACCTGAACGAGTCGGACAGGTTTCAATACAATTTAAACTGAATTTGGATAATCTCTCAACCCAACCGAACTCACAAAAGTCACACCCTTAACACTAGGTATTAAGCGAGCCGTACCATTTAATCTCAAGCTGAGCCAAGCATTGTGGCGCCAAAAAATCATCTTAAAAAAATAATTATTATTATTCAATTAACAATAATTATTCAGTATCACTTAAAACATTAAATTTAATTGAATCTTTAATTTTTGTTGGACGAGTCTCATATGGGTTCCATCAAGGCCGGCACTAGGCAGAAGCGAACAAAGCAATCGCTTTCTCCCCTAGAAAATAGTCCAACATTTGGACTCCAAATATTTGCAGCACTTATACATAGTCTAAAATTATATGACTGGAAAGGCCCAAATTAAAGACAAAAAAGCCCAAACCAAACAAAGGCCTAATTGTTTCTTCTCCTGAGCACAAAGAAATAAGAGAGGGCCCACCATCTACAAATATATGAACAATAACTTTTCAAAATAAATAATACTATGTGTATTAATTAATATATTAATTAATATATCAATTAATAATGTGACATAATTTTTTTAAAAAAATTGGTGTCATAACACCACTGCTGTTGCCGTGAATGGAGAAATCAGTTTGCTGCATTTGAATTGGATATTGGAAGATAAAAATAAAATTAGCACAAAATTTTGAAAAATTCATTAAAGACCCAAGAAAAAAAATGTGACTTTGTAATTATTACCAAACAGAGAGATGCTCTTACATCCAAAGAAAAAAAAATAAAAAGACCTATTATATAATGTTTGGGCAAATTACATATACCCCTTGAGGTTTGGTTAAATTACAAATACCCCTGAGGTTTGAAAAATTACAAATTTCCCCTGAATGTTATATTTGCATAACAAATTAAGGGGTAATTTGTTATAAAAATATAAACTTCAGGGGCAAATTGTTATGAAAATATAAATCTTAGGGGACGGGATGTAATTTCTGAAATCTCAGAAGGTATCTGTAATTTAGTCAAATCTCGAGAGAAGTATATGTAATTTGCCCTATATGTTTCCATTCCTTTTTAAGTATATATCATGTTTCCTAAAACATTTTTCTAGTAAAAAGTAAAATATACATGGTTGGGGGGGGGGAATTTAATAAGTAGAAGAAGAAGAAGGCAATGTGGAAACAAAAGTAATTAATTAAATATAAATTCATCCACATAATTTCTCCTTCTCTAAATTCTCCCGAATGATGTGATAATCAAAATTTAAAAAGTTGACATACATTTTAATATTCTCTCAAAATTCTCATTACATATATTTTACCTTGCCACCTCATTCAGGGAATTTTAAGAGTAAGAAATTGTGTGAATAAAATATTGTTGTTAATTAATTTAAAGGCCTAATTGTTTCTTCTCCGAAGAAAAAAGAAATAAGAGAGGGCCCACCATCTACAAATATATGAACAATAACTTTTCAAAATAAATAATACTATATGTATTAATTAATATATTAATTAATATATCAATTAATAATGTGACATAATTTTTTTAAAAAAATTGGTGTCATAACACCACTGCTGTTGCCGTGAATGGAGAAATCAGTTTGCTGCATTTGAATTGGATATTGGAAGATAAAAATAAAATTAGCACAAAATTTTGAAAAATTCATTAAAGACCCAAGAAAAAAAATGTAACTTTGTAATTATTACCAAACAGAGAGATGCTCTTACATCCAAAGAAAAAAAAATAAAAAGACCTATTATATAATGTTTGGGCAAATTACATATATCCCCTTAAGGTTTGGTTAAATTACAAATACCCTCTGAAGTTTGAGAAATTACAAATTCTCCCCTGAATGTTATATTTGCATAACAAATTAGGGGGTAATTTGTTATAAAATATAAACTTCAGGGGCAAATTGTTATGAAAATACAAATCTTAGGGGGCGGGATGTAATTTTTGAAATCTCAGGAGGTATTTATAATTTAGTCAAATCTCGAGAGAGGTATATGTAATTTTCCCTATATGTTTCCATTCCATTTATACGTATATATCATGTTTCCTAAAACATTTTTCTAGTAAAAAGTAAAATATACATGGTTGGGGGGGGGGAATTTAATAAGTAGAAGAAGAAGAAGGCAATGTGGAAACAAAAGTAATTAATTAAATATAAATTCATCCACATAATTTCTCCTTCTCTAAATTCTCCCGAATGATGTGATAATCAAAATTTAAAAAGTTGACATACATTTTAATATTCTCTCAAAATTCTCATTACATATATTTTAAAGTTGACATACATTTTAATATTCTCTCAAAATTCTCATTACATATATTTTACCTTGCCACCTCATTGAGGGAATTTTAAGAATAAGAAATTGTGTGAATAAAATATTGTAGTTAATTAATTTAGGCCCACTTAGCCAAAAGGGACATACAACCGGCGCCGAGAAGAAGCGAAGCGTTGGCACCGAGCTGAAGCTTTGGGTTTGCTTGCATCTTGGGGTTCATGAAATCGGCTGAGAGAAGATCGACTAAAGCCATGTAGATCAGTATTCCAGCTGAGGCTGCGTTCAAAATGCCCTCTACCGCTAAGGCCCTTGGGCTATTCTCGTTATAACTACTCGATATACCGATGCCTATTGCTATCCCAACTGGTGTTGTCAGTGAGAAAAACATTGCCATGATTACCACTGCCCTACACTTGAATTTTGCCTACATAACCCAACACCAATATGTATACAGTCAGTCCAAATCTTATATATCTTAACAAATTACTGCAAAATTTCGAAGATAAATTTTTTTAATGTAATGAATATTGCATATGATCGAGCAAACACCTTGTGTCTACGTAATAAATGTGGGATTCAATAAGTCATTTTTTGTTTGGCTCGAGATGTTGATAGTTTGGCCATGTTAAACCTTAGTCACGTCAACTCGGTCATATAACATGAACTAAGGAATGTTGTTAGTCGCAGCAAGCTCTTGTGATATCCTGATGGATTTTTTTTAATATTTTTTTATAATCTAAACTATTCATATTATAGAATTTATTGAATAGATCATCCATGTAAAATCAAATTGATTGGACATTTATAACTTCATAATGAGAGCATATTTTAAATAAAAATAATAATAATAAATTGTTGACTTGATCTTTATAATTTTTTAAAAATAAGTAGTATTTGATCATGGGATTACAGATTTTCGATTAACTTAGTTTTTTACACGAATAATATACTTAACAAATCTTATAATATGACGATTTGAATTATCAAAAAATACTCAGAAAAAGCCCCCACTTGGATACTGCTGTGACAAAGATCACAACAGCATCCACAAGTCTCACATATGACATACACATTAAATAAAAAAAACTTGTAAATAATGTAATACATAAATAAATTTGTATTGAATTTTTTTATCCCACACAAATGAAGTGAAATTAATGAAGGCTAAAATTTAGAATTTTATTATTATAAAGAAGAGACATTTTCAATAGGAGACTTTTAATATTATTTTTTGGTTTTTCTTTTTTGGGCAAATTACATATACTCCCCTCGAGATTTGGCTAAATTACAGATACCCCCTTGAGGTTTGAGAAATTACAAATTCTCCCCTGAAAGCTATATTTGTATAACAAATTAGGAGATAATTTGTTATGAAATATAAACCTCAGGGAGAAAATATAACAAATTAGGAGATAATTTGTTATGAAATATAAACCTCAGGGAGAAAATTATTATGAAAATATAAACCTCAGGGGGGCGAGATATAATTTCTGATACCTCAGGGATATTTGTAATTTAGCTAAATTTCAAAGGAGATATTTGTAATTTGCTCTTTTTGGGGGGACCTAGTTTCATTATAAAATGTATATAAGTAATATAATAAATATTTTGTTTTATTTTTGTGTGACTAATTACACTTATAAAGCCATTAAAAATTGAACACTGTGAGAGAAACTATTAGAGTGATGTGGTGAAGCTTTTAGACCGTTGACAAAATTGAGAATTTGAACAATTATGGAGCGGAGCGCTGCTGGGGACCGCAGTGGGGTGACCCAGCACCCCCGTCCGCGTGGGGCTGTGGAAACAAGTCTAAAAAAAATAATAAAAAATTTTCACCAATCAAAAAAATAGTGGGAGTGATGGAGTCACCTCACTAGAGGTCTAAATCTTTTCTGTATCTGCGTATCCTGTGGTGTGCATCTACCCACATATCAACTCCATTATTGGAAGACTATTATATTAAGGGGAAGAATAATGCTATATATATTAATTAGTGTATGATTAAATAATATAGTATAATTTTAAAAATTTTAAATATTTATAATTTATATAGGAAAATGACTGAGGCCCCTAGTGGAGGTGACCCCAGCACCTCCACTGTTTTTTCATTGGCTGGGAATTTTTTTTTTCAAGTCTTGCTCTCACAATGGGTCATGTGGAGCTGGGGGTGCTGGGGTCACCCCCACTTTTATATAATAAATGGGCTGGGAATTTTTTTTTTCAAGTCTTGCTCTCACAATGGGTCATGTGGAGCTGGGGGTGCTGGGGTCACCCCCACTTTTATATAATAAATGGGCTGGGAATTTTTTTTTTCAAGTCTTGCTCTCACAATGGGTCATGTGGAGCTGGGGGTGCTGGGGTCACCCCCACTTTTATATAATAAATGGGCTGGGAATTTTTTTTTTCAAGTCTTGCTCTCACAATGGGTCATGTGGAGCTGGGGGTGCTGGGGTCACCCCCACTTTTATATAATAAATGGGCTGGGAATTTTTTTTTTCAAGTCTTGCTCTCACAATGGGTCATGTGGAGCTGGGGGTGCTGGGGTCACCCCCACTTTTATATAATAAATGGGCTGGGAATTTTTTTTTTCAAGTCTTGCTCTCACAATGGGTCATGTGGAGCTGGGGGTGCTGGGGTCACCCCCACTTTTATATAATAAATGGGCTGGGAATTTTTTTTTTCAAGTCTTGCTCTCACAATGGGTCATGTGAAATAAATAACATATTTCGAAAACTCAACTAAACAGGATGAATAGTTTTAAATTGAGGTCTTTGACACGTAATTAATCACATATTTTATGATTTAGGTATTAAGGTCTCATTTGATAACACTTAGCTAGTGATGGTGTTTAATTGTAGTTTTAAATTAAAATTATTTGACTTTTAAAAATTATTTGAGCAAAAATGTGAGATTTTCTCACCTTATAATTTGTATTTTTTTTAAAAAAATTATTTAAAACCCTTAAATATGCACGAATAAAAAAAATCACCTTTTTTGCGCAAATATAAATTTTTAGGGTATTATAGATATTTGCATAATAAAAAATAAATAAAATTTTATTTAACTAATTTGGTTCAAATTTTTAATAAATTATCAAAATTACACCAACATAATTACAATTTATTTTAAGTCTTTTAAAAAATAATATAAAAAATTAAAATTATAAAAAGAAATTTATAAATGATATAAAACAGACTTTAATTTGTCAATTAAAATTGGAAACCAAATTCTTCAAGATGGAAACAAAAATGGCCTTCTTATTAGTGCTGACAGCATAGAGAACTCGCCTTTAACATTTCTTTGACTTTCAACAATTGAAGGCCAATTGAAGGCTTTGAAAACAAGCCTTTTGATGTGTACGCTTTTCACACAAATGAGTGCAATATCTTTGACTAATGCTAAATATATTAAAATATTTTAGAAAATATATTTATAAAGCATGACATGACATTCCGATTTTTACTCATGTATAAGGAAAAAGAATGTGAATGGAAAGCGAATTTTTTTTTAAGATTTCTGATACATTGGAATTTTCCTACCATTCAAAATTTAAGAGGAATATCTCATTAATTTCTTTTGAATGAAAATGAGTTTATTTATAAAAAAATACTTTTACCACATTAATTATATATAAAATTATACATAGTATATAATGATGTGGCAAGTTTTATTTTATAGTTTTAAAATAAAGCTTTGGGTTGAGTTTGGTTAAGATGAAAGTAGTAAAAAGTGAGGCTAGAGTAAAATAAAAAATAAAATTACTTATTATTTTATTGGGAAGTGATTATTTTAGTTAATTTTTTAATTTTTTTGTAAAAATATGCGCAAAAGATTGGTTATTTTAGTTGACTTTTAAATTTTTTATAATAAAAAAAGTGTAAAAAGTAATGAGAGACAACTTGCAGTGAATTTTTAGTTACAAACCTAAATCCCCAAAAAGATTAGTATGAAATTAGGTAGAAGATGAAAAAAAAATTAGTACAACCAACCTTAGCTTAATAACTAATGACTTGTTTGGTAATCATTCAGTTTTTTATTTATATTTACAAAAATTTTGAAAATATTCATATAAAAACTTATTTGGTAAGCTTTTATAAACGGATCCCTCAAATTTAAAATTAAGCTAAAAATCATAAACTAAAAAAATGTATTTACAAAAGTTTAAAAACTTAAAAAAAAATGTGGAAGGAACACCGAAGCAATGCAGAAAGAATGCGAATACACTGGGTTAGCCGTTCGAACATTCACAGAGCAGTTTTTGTTATTATTATTTTTAACGTGCAAAAATTTAAAATTTGAAGAAAAAATGCATAAGGAACATGGAAGCAATAGGGAAGAACTTGTGCACGCAAGGTCAACTATTCCAACAACCGGGGTAGCATTCACGGAAGCATTTTTGTTTTTTAAAAGAAAAATGCTTGGAGGCAGTGGGTCCCGTCATGAATAATGTGATGTTTTGGTCTTGGAGTTGTAATTTTTTTTATTTTTTTTATTTTTTTAATACATTAGTGCTATTAGTGGTGATATTTTTAGTGGGATGAATCATTATTGTTTTTAAAATTTTCAAACATTTTATTTAGACCACACGTGTTTTTTATCTTTTTTCTAAAAATAAATATAAATTAGTTTACAAAAAATAAATAAAATTAGTTTATAATTTTTTTTATAAAATAAACCAAAAAACCTAAGCGTTACCAAATGTCACCTAAGCTTTTAGTTTCTTGGAAAAAAATCTAAAAAAGTTTAAATTTATTTATGTAAATAGTTATTTATAATTAAAATTTTAAACTTATCTGTTACCTTTGCAAAAATTTCCATTTTAATAAAAAAAATGAATTATATATATATTTCTCATTTCGCTTCTATTAGTTTCACCATACCATATCATTTTGATCAGTGAAAAATAATTGTTAATTGTTAATACTTATGAGGCCAAGTGTTTACCCTTCTAATTTAATTCTCTTACTCTGTATTTGGTTGGAAAATTTAAAAAGGGATTTGAAAAGAGAAAAAAAAAAGGTGTGTGAAACTAAATGGAATGTAGATATATTTTATTCATATTTCACCGATCTTTTATATTTCTCTTTCTAAATTTCTCCTCAAATTTCTCAACCATATACAACATTAGGGAGAATTGAACTCATAATCTTCTTCTAGGAATTAAGCCCTTAAAAAATCATGGTAGCCAACTAAGTTACCTTACCTTACAATTTTGTCCAAAAATAAAATAAAAAATTATACATAAACAAAAGCCAAGAATGATAAAAGAATATGTGACAAGTATTAAATTTAATAATGTGTAAAGTGGTACCTGAGTGATACATCCACCAAGACCCATGCCCTCGAAGAATTGATGAAAGGTGAGAGCAGCCACAAGAGGCCTTATTGTTTTGACCTCTTCCGAAGCACCCAATGAGATTCCAATAATCACCGAGTGGACCACAATTCCCAATTCCAAAACCTTTAAAAAAAAAAAAACCACAAACACATCATTACCAAACCATCCATTGCTATTCACACCTTCACAAATTAAAATATATCATCACAGAATCTAACCATGCATGTGCCCTTTAAAATCTAAAATACTAATCGAAGTCAAACACCGATCAAATTATTTTTCATTCAATAAGAATGAAAATATCAAATCAGTGAAATTTTATAAAAATAATAAATTAGTAATAAGTTTTATAAATATTAATAATTATAATTATAAATTTTTTTGTTAAAATACAATTATGTTTTTAAAATTCTACTGGACTATAATTACACCTAATAAAAAAATAAGAAAAATTACAAATCAATGGAGTTTTTACAAATTTATGAAAAAATTTATAACTGTAATTATTAAAGTTGATAAAAAATTTCACTAGTTTGTAATTTTTTTTTTTAATGCACTAAAGTGCAATTCTTCCATAAAAATATATGCCATTTGCGAACTCAATTATAAAAATATATAATTTTTGCCCTTTATATGTCACCTTCAAAACAAGTATATTTGTCTGGCTTTTTTTATTGAGAAGATCGATATGTATAAATTTACGGATAAAGAGAGTAAAATTTATATTTACTAACCGTTGAAAGAGTCTTGGTATAATACTTTCTACTCTTTTTTTTCAATAAGAAAAAGAATATTTACAATTTTTATTTAGAAAATTACATTAAATTAAATAATTAGATACTTATAAAAGTCTAACAATACAAACTCGTAAAAACAAACAACCAAAAAAAAAGACAAACTAATCAATAATAACATTTGACTTGAACCATGATCCCTCAATTGGAGAGTGCCTACCAAGTAGCCCAATTGGTTATCGGGATTCCCTTTGTTCAGATAAGATATGGTCAAATTTAAATTTTAGTATCCACTTCATAATAATTTTCATATGATGATTGAGGTTAAATAATTAATTATATCATCTTAAAATAAAATAATATTTATTTACAAAAATATAATTACTAGTATATTTTTACAAAATAAAACGTTTTCAAAAGTATCAAACAGTAACTAAACCTAATGAACAAGAAAAAAACGTATTTAACAGCAGCAATTACGGATATAAATACATATAGATGTGTATACAAATAAGTAAGAATAAAAATAAATAATAAAAAAATTAATATATTTAAATAATAAATATATTCTTAATGAATCTCAAACTTTATTTGAGTTGTAGTAAAATAATTTTTTGTTTTTACATATAAAAAATCTAACACGTGCCATGAGAAAAATATTTGAAGGCTTGAATATCAAATTCAGTATTCACGTAAGTATAGATAGATATTTTTGAATAGATACAATGCATGTATACTTTGATTGATATGGTAAAAAATTAAGATGAAAAAAAAAGTGAAGATACGAGATAAATTAAAATAAAATAACTGGAAAATTCATATATAGGAGTACCTGAGATATGACACGGTGTCGAATAAGATCAGCGGCGCCCAAGTCATGTAACGAAAGCGCGGCGGCGGATCCATGAGCATGGCCGTGAGTGGCGTGAGTGTGAACATGAAGAGCGCCGCCGTGATCTCCACCTCCGTCCTCAACGTTGACAGTAGTACTTCCGGCCTTGGCATTACCATCATCATCGGCCTTCCCCTTAAAATACGACGTCGCAAACGTATCAATCATCAGAGTTACAATCGCCGCCATCATCGCCACGAATCCGGTGAACGGAAACTGCCAAGCTTTTCCGGTGAGACACGGGTTGGTCAGGTGGTCGAAGGCGTCGGGAAGCACGTGGATGAAGCCAGTGGCCAGAATTACGCCGGCGGCGAACGCTTTGATGATGAAGAACACATCCTTTTCGGGCCGGAGCGCCGGTACGGCCCTGCCGAGCAACGGAAGACAGACTCCGATTGCTCCGGCGACGAGAATAGAAGCTATCGCCGCCACTTTGTATGTGAGTGCTTTACTCTTGTTGCTTCCACTGTTGGTCGTTCCGGCATCGCAAGTACAGTCTCCGAGAACTGTGGTGGGAAGAACTAGAAGTATGAAGAGAGAGAAAACGAAGATTGAAGTGATATTCATTGTTGAATTAGGGCCAAATTGATTGAAACCATTGAGGAGTGATAGAGTATTGTTCCCTTTTATATAGAGGGAGAGAGGATTTGATTTGAATGGAACAGATAACAGAATAGAATTGGGTTTAGGAGAGTATAAGAGTATGATTATTCGTAGTTGGATTAGAGAGGCGTGTTTTTTTTAATTGGTAAGATTGATGAGGTGTATGATTTGTTTTGTGTGGGCTTTGTACGCATGACAATTAGTGAAGAAATAATGAGGACATTTCATTTACAGTAAGTCATTAAGCATCACTTTTTTATAAATCTTTTTTTACTTATTTATATTTTATTTAGTTTGTATTATTTTTTTATATTTTAATAAGTCTTATGAATGGCATAATTATCAAAATATTTTTAATAATATTCACATTTACAGTGTAAATGTTCCATGATGTGGATATTTACATTGTAAAATATGAATGTTAACATTACCAAATTACTAACTGTTCAAAAAATATTTTTAAGGATAGAAATGCCTATAAAATACCTTAAATATGAGAATTAAAATTTAATAGATCAAATATCTAAATAATAGGACATATAAGAATATCTTATGAATTAATTAGAATACAAACACTTGAAAAAAATATTTTTTAATAAATCTCCCTATAAGAGATTTGTCCTCTAATATTGATATTTTGACTTTTTAGGTTGGATTTCTCTCTATTTAAATTTGAATTTAATTCCTCATGAGTTCATTATGAATTTCGTTTCAATTTTCTAAATTTTTTTGTTTTCTAAGACTCTGTGTATATTATTTATAAAAATAAAAAATAAAAAATAAAAAATTGAATCAATCCAATAATTTTTTATTTTTCATTTTTTATCACATTTATGACCAAAAAAATAATCAACAAGTTATGATTATTGAATAAAAAAATACAATTTTGTTATTAATTTTGTGGGTTATGAAGATAAATAATGCCTAGAGATTATAGGTTGGTTAGTAATACATGTACCATTTTTTTCAAGTTGTCATCTCAATGAAAGTGTTTGGACTTGGTATGGTTGGCTATTTTTACACTTCGCATGTCAGAAATGTAATTCAAGCGTGCCAATAAGGATTTGAAAAGTTCTTACAGATAATAAATGCTAATTTGTATCAAACGATTGTGCTAAGATTTTCTTAGTCTCAATGAAGAGATTTTTATTGAATTGTGTTGAAAAGTTGAACCAAAACTTGTAATTCAAATTCGTAATATAATGGGAGGAAGAGATTGGGCAAAAAATTGCAATTGATTAAATAAACAAACTATTACAATATGTTGCTTTTAATAAAGACAATTTCGAAACTTTAATACGAAAAATAAGTGCAATGCATAAAACTAAAGTGCAAGAAAGTAAAGTATAAAAACTTAAAGATAAATGATATTGATAAAGATATAGAATCTGTATTTCGTTAGGGGCCTCTTCAGTCTTTACTTTAATTTATTTATAGTCACTTCTTAGCGTCTTCGAAGCAATTAGGCTGTTATTTTTCGCCATGATCTCCTTCCCTTTTGCTACTCTTCGGGGCCATGAATTCCTTTTTGTGCGTGTATAACTGTTGATAATCGTTTCTTTGCTAACTTCTTCTCCATGTGCCATTCACGTGTTGTTTAGCATCTCCATTGGCTGAAAACTTGCATTCGCAACTTACGTGAGCACCTTCGAATGTGAGACTCTTCATTATCTTGATGTATCCCGCATGGTACCTCTTGCTTGTCACGTGTCACCTTTGCATTTTGATGTTTTAAATGTAGCGTCAACAGGTAAACACATTTCAAAATCGATTTCGGTAATCCAAATTGTTCATTTTTTAGAACTGGTTGAGTAAAATATTCATGCAAAAAATAAAGATGATTAAATATCGACAAATATATGTTTCAATCATATTTGTTTTTAAAAAATGGACAACAAATGTAATTTCAAGGATAGGCATCCATTTTTTGTAATATAAATTTGATTCAAACATATAGTTGCTGATATTATATCATCTTGATTTTTTGTATGAATATTCTATTAAATGAGTCTTAAAAAGTCAATGAAACGAATCACCGAAATCGGTTTCAAAATGGGCATACAAGTCCAAACACTATCTTAAGTTGAGATGGCCAATTTAAAAGAAGTCAAATTTATTTAATTTTACTAAGATATAACTTGGGATAAAATGAAAAACTATTTTTTACTATTTTATTGATGATGTAGTTAAACCATGATATTGGATTTGAACGAATAGTGCACTTTTTTGGGTATCACAATTCTTCCCAATGGAATATCCTATATGACCCACACGCAAAAAAAAAAAAAGTACTATCCTTGACAGGCTCGCTGGGTCGAAAACTAGAAAGGGCAACCTAAGCAAAAGTTTTTTTTAAAAAAAAAAATGAAGAAAAAAAAATTAAATGTGGTAACCTCAAACCCTTTTAATCCCCTAAAAAAAGCTGCAGAGTAATGCAATAAAAAAACAAACAATATAAAAAAGTTTGTTAGGTTTTTATTTTTGGCAATCTCGTTTGACAAAACTCGTTTCCATTGTAATTTTGTTCAGTGAGACTATGAGTTTTAAGATGTAAATCCAACTCGACTTGTGCTTTGCAGAGATGTTTCAAAAGTTACTTCTTTCATGTTTGCCACTTCGCTGACTATGTCGGGGATCGAGTTGCCCGATCAATTTGCGGGGTCCAAAGGGTAGCACCCCTTGGCGGGTCCAGGGCAGCGCCCTGACGGAGTCGAGGGACAGCGCCCTCGAAGCCAGAAGAAAAATTGCAGTCGAAGTTGTTTGTCCGCTCGAGCAACTATTTGTGCGCTCGAGCAAAGAATCTTTGGTTCCAAAAGTTTGAACTGTCTGCAAAAGTACTAGAAGTTGTGTTTTTGCGCTCAAGCAGTCTTTCATGCACTCAAGCGGAGATCACAGATCAGTTTTCTATAAATATGTGATTTCATCCGTTTTTAGGGTTACGGCTGCAGATATTCTTCTTAGGTGTTAAGGTTTTTATCTAGAGTTTTTTTTCTTATTTCCTTTGATATTTATGAGAGTTTAATCATGAATTGAGTGGATTATATCAAAAGGTTTGTTTAGTTTGTTTCATAATACAAAAGAGAGAATTGTTCTTCGGTGGATTCCGTGGAACTTGAGCCTGAAGCTTTGGTGGATTCTGGAGTGGTTCATCATCGTGGATTCGACATCAGCGTTGTGGATTTATCGTTGGGCAAGACAATTCTGAGATGAAGACAGGGCTGGAAAAGACACATATGAGTCAGTTTGATTCGGGCGTAGATTCACTAGGTAATTGAGAGTATACTTGTATAATTCATTTATGCCTTCTTAGTGGATTGTTTTGTGACTTTTATCCGTAATTTTTTTATCACAATTGGAGGTGCTCCAATCGTGATTTTTTCATGTAAAATCTTTGTGTTGATTTGTCTTTGATTGTTTGATTGAGATTGATATTCACTGCTTAAAATTGATAAATAATCACAAATCAATATCTAAGAAATTTTTAGATTTTTCAAAGTTGAATTGAGAATCACATAATTTCGAAATGCCTTTTAATTCCAAATTTACCACATCACTTGGTGGAGAAAACTACATCGCAATTTAATGAAACAATTTAAGTTTTTATTGCTTCTTAGCACTAAAATTTAAGGATAAACTACATTAAATTACCTTCCTTTAAAGTTTAGAAAAAAAAAAAAAAACCAAACAAACTAAAACCCATAAATTTAACGTAATTATATTAGAGTAATGCTAGAGACCCCAAATATTTTACCAAAAGTTTTACCAAATGTTTCACATGGGTGTGGGACCCACACAATGTGGGTCTCATGTGAGTCCCACACCCATGTGAGACATTTGGTAAAACTTTTGATAGAATAATTGGGGCCTCTAGCATTTTTGATTATATTATGCTCTCATAAACTTTTAATTTTCAAATTTACATAACACAACCTCATTTTATCAGTCATTTGCTATTCATATGGATTAAAAAAAAGGGATATATTTTCATACCTTTTTATACTAGAAATATCACTTGCATTAGTTCGGTTTGATTTAACCTTTCTTTATGTTAAATTTTTAGGACTTATTATATTGGTGGTTAGTGTAATTTACTTAAAAAAAATGAATCTCTCAATTATAAATTAAGTTTTTCGATGATTTAAAATACATCAATTTAAAATTTTTATGAAAAAATTAAATTTTTTGTCATGTGCTTAATTTGAAGCACCACGGAAATATTGTTTGGGAAGTGAGTTTTTTTTGTAGGTTTTTTTAGTTGTAGGATATTATTGGAGAAATTTTTTTTTGTGTTTGGGAAGATAGTTGGATTTTTTTGTAATTTGATATGATATTTGTGAGAGAAAAAGTAAAATGATTATGAGATTTAATGTGATATTTTGTTTGGATTTATTTTTTGTGATTTTGTGAAACATTTGTCTTATAATAAAAAAAAAACCAAAAAAACTCAAAAATCAAGTTCCAAACACCCCATTGTGAATGATGCTTTCAAAAACAGACCAAGGCCAGATTCAAAGAGGCAAGTAGTTTGGAAGTTAATGGGAATATAAAATTCCCAGTTTTTTTTTTTTTTTTTGAACAAAGAAAAGGATGCTCTGTAGTGTCATCACGACATTCGTAAGTCCAGGTCCCGGGATAACCGGTTGCCAGCCTGATTTAATCCAACCCATAAAAAGAGACTCACCACCGAGGCATCAATGGAGCGCAACCTTACATGCCACAGACAAGTCCAAATTTCGATCGGAACATAAAGCGAGATTTCTACAAAAAAAAAAAAAAAAAAAAAAAAAAAAAAAAAAAACCAATTACAAAACAACCTTTATTCGCCTCCCCAAAATTCGGACCTGAAACAAACCTGAAAATGAAAAGCATTCACCATCAGGCTGTGGTTATAAAATTCCCAGCTTGACATTTGCAAATTGCAATGAGCCCGAAAGTTGAATGGTTTTTAAAATAATATTTTTTTAAAAATGAAGTGTGGAGAGCATGTCGACATATAAGGATATTTGACTGAGCTATCTTAACTGCATTTTGGATGCCATATAATAATAATTTTAATCTATGGCTCTGAGGCCACCTTCCTCGATATTTCCTCTCTCTATCCCTCTACATGAGATGGCACCATCGGCCACAGTACAAACAGAAAAGCTACAGAGGAATAACAACTCGGTGTGAAATTATAAAATAATAAAAAAATTACACATTAATAATAAATTTTATAAATATTAATTATTAAAATTTTAATTATATACATATATATAAATATTTTATCAAGGGTAAATTATCAACACCCCTCGAGATTTGATTAAAATACGAATTCTCCCTTGAGGTTTAGAAAATTACAAATTATCTCTTGAGATTTATATATGCTTAATAAATGAGGGGGTAACTTATTATGCAAATATAAACATCAAATGACGAGATATATTTTCTTAAATTTTAAAAAAAAAATTATATTTTAATCAAATCTCAAGGGGTGTTGTTAATTTGCCCTTTTAGAGCATCTCCAATCGTTTATCAAATTTTTCACCAAATTTGAGTTAAAAAAGATCCATTTTCTCATTTTGATACAAACTGCTCCAATGGTGGGCATTGGTCGACCGGCCGGTCGACCGGTAAGGCATTTTTTTTTTTTTTTACCTCTTTGAACCTTTTAACCTGTTTGAACCAAAATTTTTGTATGGAAACTGGTGGACCAGTTGGTCAACCGGCTGGTCGACCAGTTGGTCTCCCTAACGGTCACGCACAGTGAAATGGTGAAAGCTGCTGCCTGTTCTCACTTTGATGAATTTTTTGATACCGATTTGGTGCAATCGTTGGAGCACCAAACAGTCACTTTTTCACCAAAATTCAAATTTGATGTCAAGTTTGGTGAACCGTTGGAGATGGTCTTATGAAAAACTCATTGGACAGTTGTTCTCCCAAAAATATGGATTAGGATGACCATTTTCACCCTTCATGCCCATCCCTGAATCTCCTGTCTTGATTTCCATTGTTTTTTCCGACTCCGACAAGAAAGTGGGACAAAAACGAGTTTTGCTTCTCCCGCTTATTCAACTCACCCCGTCTTGTTTATATTTATAAGTAGTGTTTTGAAAATTGATTATTTCAGTTAATTTTTTTTATCTTTTTATAAAAATATGTACAGAAAAGTAGGAGGAATAGTTAATTTTTTATAATAATTTTTTTTATTTTTTTTGCTATTTTAATCTATTGACGAAACAACTTAAATATTTTCATATATATAATATATATCACTTTTGTAATATAATAAAATTGGAACTCAAAATATTACACTTGTGCTATGCTTTGTTCATGGATTCGGAAAGGAAAAAAAAAATTGTGAGAAATATGAATGAAATCTAACTATATTTCACACTTTTTTTTTTCCTTTTTAAATTCCTTCCAAAATGAACCGAACAGGGTCTTAGCATTAACTTTCACTCATTTCGTTCTCATCTTATATATCTTAACTTTCAATAATTATAAATCACTATCTATAATATACTATATTATTGATAATTTTCATTAGAGTAAATTACACTATACCACCTTTATATTTGGTCACTTTTCCATTTTAGCCCTTATAGTTTTTTTTTTCATTTTATATTTCAAGTTTTTCCAGTTTTCTTTTAAAGTTAATTTTTGTTAAAAATTGGGCAAAAAATAAAACGTTAATTGTCACGTGACATAAAAATATTTTATTATACATAACTCACATTTTTTATATAAAGTTAAATCTCAATATAATAATATATTTTTATATTAAGTGACAGTTATTTTAACATTTTATGTTTAATTTTAAATAGAAATTAGTTATAGGAGTAAATTAGGAAAAACTTGAAACATAAGTGGTCAAAGTGGAAAAAAATAAATTTTAAGGGTTAAAGTAGAAAAGTGGCCAAACATATAAGGGCACTACAAGAATTTTCACTTTTCGCGACTAAATTTTCAGTCGCCAAAAGTCAATTTTTAGTCGCCGAAGGGCTTTAGCGACTAATTTTTTTGGTCGCAAAATTAATAGCCAAAGAGTAGTCAGGAAAGCTAGTCGCCAAATATATTCATTTGCCAACTAAATATTTAGTCGCCAAAAGGTTAGACATTAAATTAAATTAGACCCTTTTCGGCGACCAAACTTTTAGTCGCCTAAAGTCCCACCTTTTTAACTATGAAGATTTTAGTCGCCGAAAGTCCCCATCTTTGGATACTAAATGTTTAATTGGCAAAGAGTTCTCTTTTGGCTACTAAATATTTAGTCGCCTAAAGTTCTACATTTTTTACTACTAAAATTTTAGTCAGCAAAAGTGTATTTATAATTTAGTTTTTTGTTTTTAGCTACAAAATATTTTAGTCGCCAAATGTTTGATTTTCTTTTGACTACTAAAGTTTTAGTCACCAAATGTCTATTTTTTTTTTTTTTTGCTACTAAACTTTTAGTCGCTAAATGTCTTTTTTTTTTTTTGCTACAAAACTTTTAGTCGCTAGATGTCTTTTTTTTTTTTGCTACAAAACTTTTAATTCCATACAAAATATGTCATACAAAAATCAAAACCCTCTATATACAAAAAAATACATTTACTACCAAGCGAAATTACCATTTGGCATGGTACAAATCACCATCGTAATCTGTACTACAACAAAATGTGATATATATACCACGACAAAAGTTTTCTATGGACCATGACAAAACGTCCTATATGTACGCCGACAAATGGTATATATGTACCATGACAGAAGGTGATCTATGTATTACGACAGTTATTATCTATTGATTGCCAAAAGTTTTCTGTATCAGTAATAATGAACTACACAAAAGCTGAGGACGACAAAAGTATTATATTAGTTCTACACAAAAGTGAAAATTCTTCTCCATACACCAATATGGATTATCCACAAGTCCACACAACAAAACCATCTACAAAGAAAAACAAAAAACGAAACATTAAAATTGGTTACAAAATAGCAATTCAGTCAGCCATATGGAACATGTTCTAACATGCATTTAAGGTAGAACAATCGAGAAATGTCTTCTTGAAAAAAAAAAAAAAGAGTATATATACATATATGTATCATGCAATATTTATTCCAGCCAACTGTACAAACAATGTAATATGTAATTTCTTCGTCTTACAAATATATAAAGGCAATTATAAGAGTATGTAGATGTTATTTTAATAAAGTTGTTGCTTTTTTAACTAAGTGTTGCAAGTTTTTCGACTAAGTGTAAGGCGTATTCGGGGGCTGTTATGAATTTTCGCCCTCGGAAAGCCCTTTTTCGAGTAAGTTTAGGGCGTATTCGGCTCTAACTCCTAACCTACAGGTCCGAATTACGTTCCGTCAGATCGCACAAGTCCTATTTGTCATGGAAAAGCTATCCGTGTGAGCAACACGGTCGTTCGGGGACTGTTTTGAATTTTCGCCCCCGAAACGCCCTTTTTCGACTAAGTTTTAGACGTATTCGGCTCTAACTCTCTACTTACGGGTCCAAATTACGTTCTGTCAGTTCTCACAAGTCCTATTTGTCATGGCGAAGCTATCCGTGTGAGCCACATAGTCATTCGGGGGCTGTTTTGATTTTTCGCCCCCGAAACGCCCTTTTTCAACTAAGTTTAGGGCGTATTCGGTTGTAACTCCCAACCTATGGGTCCGAATTACGTTCCGTCAATTCTCACAAGTCCTATTTGTCATGGCGAAGCTATCTGTGTGAGACACACGGTCGTTTGGGGGCTATTTTGATTTTTCGCTCCCGAAATGCCCTTTTTCAACTAAGTTTAGGGGGCATTCAGCTCTAACTCCCAACCTACGGGTCTGAATTACGTTCCGTTAGTTTTCACAAGTCCTATTTGTCATGGTGAAGCTATTCGTGTGAGCCACACAGTCGTTCAGGGATTGTTTTGAATTTTTGCCCCCGAAACGCCCTTTTTCCGACTAAGTTTTGGACGTATTTGGCTCTAACTCCCAACCTACGAGTCTAAATTACGTTCCATCAATTTTCACAAGTCCTATTTGTCATGGCGAAGCTATCCGTCTGAGACACACGGTTGTTCGGGGAAGCGGCCCGTGAGAGCCACATGGTGGTTCAGGGGCTATTTTATTACTCAAAAGTATAGTTTACAATGATAAGAAAGAGATACTAACAACTTTATGATCTAAACCTAAGAAGCACGGTCATTTCATTACATACCGACATCAAGCATATGAATGTCATCGTATAGGCTTGACTCATCAGTGAAACCCCCAAAGACAAACAAGTTCTTTCCCAAGGCAACAGTTATATGCCCAGCTCGAGGTGGCAAGAGTTGGCCTGAAGTGTTCAGCTTCCCCCTCATAAGAGCATCTATTAAAACAGTGCCACTACTATATTTATTAACTAGATATAATTACTACAGGCTCAAGCAAATTGAAAGTTTTAGTTTTTATTCTATCTTGGCAATCAGTCAATATGGGTAATTTCAAGAAGAATTGATACCTGCATCAAGGATATGAACATCAGAGAGATAATATACGTCTTCACCACCAATTACAATGATTTTGCTCTTCCAAGATGAGCATGTATGGCTATCACACTTAGAGGTGGAGGAGCACCTGATGTTACAGCGCATGCCCATACAAAAGTTTCTACATAAACGAGAAGGAAGGTGAGTAATAACCTTTTCTTTTCCACTTTGTTCTCTGAATCAAACTACTACAAAGCTGGGGTCAAGTGGCTAGGATTCATGCAAATCAAGAGCCCTTGAAAAATCATGAAGAATAAATTAAAACCTACATTTTAGCTACCACCATGCTTTTTTTTAAACAAGACTAAAAAAAGGACAATCCCATACTAATACATTACATAAATATTGCATTCAGAGTGATAGAGAAGCAACATTGCCCCATAAACTCTAGGCAATCAATAAACTTACCCGTATTCAAATGTAGAGATCATCATAAAGCTTTTCATCAGAATTATCTGAAGATTTTTTGCAGCCACCAAATATGAAAAGTCGTTTGCCAATTAGTGCCGCGTTGTGGCCTTCCCGTGCCTTTAGTACCCCACCTCTTATAGTTGGTGAGATCTATGTATTTGATACTATGTATTTATAAAACACACAAGGAAGTACAGATCAGAGTGATGAAAAATACAATAAATAAATAAATAAAAACAATTCAACATGAATTAATATAGTTCTTCATAGATCTAGTATCATTGGCAACACTGTTGAGGAGATGAACACGAGATGTAAACAAAACTCACATGAGATGTAAACAAAACCATTTTTAGCAATTTTAGGACCACTTCAGTAAAATAATACCGTCATAGCTATTGGATACATACTATAAAATTAAACAACTCAATTGTTAAACAGATGAGAAATGTAAAAGAGAAAAGCAAGTGGTAACTCACAGGTGTCTAAGATATGCAAATCCTTAAGAGGGTTCATTCCATCTGTACCCCCAAACACAAATAGATTATCTACCACAGTGGTACAGCTATGGCTATCCTTGGGCACCGGTGGTGTGCCTTTTATCACAGGTTGACTCCATGCCCGTGTAGCTGCACACAATAATATACACATAAGAAAAAAAAAATTCTATATAAATGTCAACTCGCACATGAAAATGCAAGTGCACTATTGCAAGTACATATATGAGACCATGTTATTTACCAAACCCATTTTATTTTTAAACAAATTTCCTAAATGCAAGTTACAAATTTTTATTTATTTCACAAACTGGGGGGTTAAGTTTTGAAAACACGTCTTCGTGTCTTAAATTTTTTTACAGCAAGTTAATTGAAATTGTGCCAGTGTCAGTCAAGTGCTGTTTTCAAAACAAGAAAGCCGATTTCAAAGAATTACTTATGTTTGGAAAATAAGTTTAAAACAACTCACACTTGAGAAATTTGTTTGAAGATAACATTGTTTGGTAATAAAAAATAAAAACTATAGAAATCATGAAAAATGTTGACCATAAAGACGACATTGAAGAATGCTAACAATTAACCCAACAAGAAATACCCAAAAATTTCACAACCCGGATAGGCCATGCACTTGTTGAACTTAACTAGATGGAGCTCTTTCTATTTCTATGATTGGTTGAAGAACTTTGACAATTTGATTTATGGTTACTAGAACTCACTGGGCTTATTTTCAGAGTTTGGAATTATATTTGGATTACAGAAATACTGCCAAGTAGACAAAACACTAGTTGTAGTGGTGGAATTATGAGGCCTCAGGAGATTTTAAAATAGCCATTAATGGCTTAATTTCTTAATTTTGTTCTCTGGAAGAAAATGAATCAGGCTACGTGCTGGCAAATCATGGACATTCTCTTGAAGAAGATAGGGTTTGCTTTGGAATTATAGGATGATAAAGTTGAGGATTCAAGCATTCTATATCATTTGTTGAAGTTAGGTGTATCGTTCTATTGTATGCGCACACATGCATGTGTGAGAGTCTTCAATTCCTCTAACATGTCACATTTACTAGATATGTTACATGGACTTCTCTAAAAGCATGAAGTAGCTGTGTTAGACATGTAACACTTGGATAAGGTACATGTGTTTGACATGACTAACTGAACATGCCCCGAGCAAACATGTCAAGTACACATAAAACTCTATAATGCAACCCATAAACTAATAATGGTGCTTTTAGTTATTATTTAACTCAATATTCTATGGTTGCTATCCTGACTTGTAGAAACACTAACTAATAATCTAAGAAGTTCAAATTTTAATGTCTGAATGCCTTTTTCAACTGCCAATGAATTTGATTAGCTTTCAAAAAATATACTATACTTACTCATATCAAATTGCTAGTATTATTCTTAAAATAAAATACATACAACTAATTGAATTTATTTTATTATATGTTAGAATTATACAATTTTTTTTGTTACAATTAGACATCAAAATGAACACGCACTAGAAAGAAACCCTAAATAGATGCTTTTTCAAAATCCACAATTGAGTTGATAACAATGATCAAAATTCAATCTTTTTACAACAACAAAATGCAATTCTATGAGCAAAATTGGTCATATTTCATCTAAATTATTTCAAAATCAACACAATGAACATCAAAAGAGTAAAAAAGAAAAAAAAGGCAACTTTTGTAGACCCAAATTCAATTACTCGTATGATAATCAATCGCAAAAATACACAAACAAACTCAGAAAAAAAGAAAGAAAAAATTAATAATTATGATGTGAAATGATCAATCTCGTACCTATAGATACAATGCTATACAACAAAGAGCAAGAACGGATCTTTGTACGCCATTCCCGGTCGCTTTGGATCGGATTTCTTACCCAGCGACGATAATAAATGACTCGGCGGCACATACAATTCTGGCGAATTCTCCGGCGAAAATGAAACATCCGGCGGCTGAGTGCCACCACCGACGATATCAACGATTGGGTTCTTCCCAAATATCTCTCTCGGCAACAAAACTCTTGAAACCCCAAAACTCTCAATATCAATGATTGGGTTCTTCCCAACTGGTCGTGTGCAGTGCTGAGATGAGGGGCGGTGGTGATTGATTCTCTATGTGAGAGAGAGAGAGACAGAGGGAGAGCAAAAAAGAGAAAGAACCGTGTGAAGAAGTAATAGATTTGGGCAAAAATTTAGGCGCTAATATAAAATTTTTCCAGTAAAAGTTTGAACACATCTGCCGACTAAATTTTAGTCGCTGAAGATAGGTTACCAAAGATTTAAAAAAAAAGAAAATTTATTTTTCATTCGGTGACTAAATATTTTAGTAGTCAAAAATCAATATACGGCGACTAAATTTTTTTTTTTTTGTCGCTGAAAATAAATTTTTGGCAACTAAAACTTTAGTCGCCAAAGAGAAAAAATAATTTTTTTATTATCCATTTGGCGACTAAATATTTTAGTAGTCAAAAGTCAATATACAGCAACTAAATTTTTTTTTGTCGCTGAAAGTAAGTTTTTGGCAACTAAAACTTTAGTCACCAAAGAGAAAAAATAATTTTTTTTTTTATTTTCCATTCGGCGACTAAATATTTTAGTAGCCAAAAGTCAATATACAACGATTGAGTTTTTTTTTTGTCGCCAATCCTGGCATTTTTAGCTACTGAATTTTTTTTTAAGTCGCCAATAATGAATATACCCCAACTAAAAAAAATTAGTAACTAAGTATTTTACTTTTGCCGACTAAAAAAAATTAACCTACTATTAGAGATGGACATGGCCTGTTGGCCCTCCCAACCCAATTTTGTAAGGATTTTGGAAGATTATTTTAGCCAATAGGACCAAATTGGGCCAACATTTTCAATCCGATATATTAATAAGTTGGGCTTGGAATGTATACTTTCAACCCTGGCTTACTCACTAATAAATAAATAAATTATTTAATTATAATATATTAAAAAATATATATTTTTTTAGAATCTATATTTTATTTTTATTGGTTTTATCAAAACTCACATTTATAGTGATGTATGGTTAGATTCATTTAAGAAATCTTTCAATTTATACATAAAATCTTTCAATTTATAATCATATCAGTATATTTATTTAAGAAATATAATGTGTGATTAAATTTAATTATTGAACGTTTTAAATTTTTTTTTAACATATAACCTAATGGTTGGGCTTAGAATTTATAATTGTTTTCTAGGTCAGGCTTGGGTAGATATAGAGACCCGATGTTAGGGTTGGGCTTGGCTATGGGTGGTGTAGACACCCCATTTTTGACCGTCCTCAAGACTTGGACGTCACCGCTTGAACACTCGGTGATCATCCATGTTCGTGTTTGTTTTGAGTTCCAGGAGGTCTTGGCTACGCGCCTTGCCTCAGGATCTCTCGACTTGCTTGTTCTGTGCTTGGTTTTACACCAAGGACTTGTTCGTTTTTTTTTTTTTTTTCTTAATCCACATGCAATTTGTACAACAATCAACACAACCCTCCATCGGTTGTCAAAACAATTATCTCTAATGCCATTATTAAAAGATAACAATAACAACAACAATATCCAAAATGTTATCAAAACCGGAATCCCAATGATTTATACAAAGTCTCCACGATTCCCAAAAACACATGCACACTCCTTACGAGTCTTGTGAATCTCAACTGAAAATAAACAATTTTCCCAAAACATCCAATTAATTCTTTTTAACAATTACCCCCTTTTTTTCGAAAAGAGTAATCCAAACTCAGTGATTTCCAACGCCCAAAAACGTTTAACAACCAAACTTCTTTTCTCAAAAACCCCACAACACACCCAATTCCACACCACTTTCCAAAACATCGACCATCCTAGTTTTGTCAAACTTTGGAGATTTCTTTTCAAAACACAATTTTCTACAAAATCTCATCACACAATGATTACTAGCTTACCAATTTTAAACCACAACTGAAAAGAAAGCTCTTTCCCCCAAATTAATGCATTTATACAATATAACCAAAAGCTAACTTTTCACAAACCCTTAACTATAAAAATAAAAAAAAATAGCAAATAACGAAGCTACGTAGCATGCAGATTGATAAGGAAATCCCTACCTCAACTCTAGAAGAGGAGAAAGCCCAAAAGTCCCAAAATCGACAGTGACGAAAGCATGATTTGACCAGGTTGTAATAACATGTATGTCTTCCAACCTCATTTCTTTCTCTCTTTTATTTACCTACTTATGTTAGTTAGATTAGAGCATCATGCTTTGTTCGCATCCCTCATGCCTTGCATCCATTTGTATTGCATGCACCAAGGCTCGGTTTATTATTCAAACTGGCATTGCCATTTAAATAATTCTTTGAATACGTACTTAGACCGCATGTTAGAAAATTGATTCACATGTCATAAATTAGTAGCCGAGCCTATTAGTTGCATATTGCATGTATTACATTAGTCATAGTGCATTGATTAGGGACATCCCTCTCCCTTTGTCTCTCTTTTGTCCTTGTTTTTGGCTCATAAGGGTAGCATGCATGATTAGTTGTTCTTGGCTTCATTTCAGAGGTTTTTGGGTGTTGTTGGGTCATATTATGCCTCTGTTTTTGGTCAGATTAATGGCCTCTTTCGTGTTTAATATACTTGATTTGTATTCCTCTCTTTGGCCTAGAAGTGCATCATGCATTTAACCTACTATGCTCTCATGTTTTGGCCTAACTTTGTGAAGTTCTTAGCCATGTCTTACCATGCTTAAGGTCTGTTGGGAGCTTATTTGATCATATTTACCATGCTTGGTATAGCCCTTTTGTATTTTGGCTTGTGAGCCTTGAGGGTGTGAGTCATGAGCATGCTTGAGTTGGGTTGTTTCAGTGGTTTGGAGTCATTTCCCATGCTATTTCAGTCCATAACCTATGCTCGTATGATTGCATTTATCATCTCTTTCATGCCTTGAAGAGTTGTTTTGTTGTGCCTTGAAATGAGGATTGTGCATGCTTAAGTGTTTAAGTCTTTGGGGCTGCCATATCAACGGATTTTGGGGGCTCATTTTGCATGTTGAAACTCTATTTTTGGTTGTTTAATTCGTACCATGTGTGGTCATGATAGTGGTGGTAGAATGCTCTTTCTTTTGTGCTTTAGTCTTAGGCTCGTTGATGTGCATGTTGGCATGAACATTTGTCCACCATTTACACCCCCTTTGGCCACTGTTTTGGAGAGGGCTAAGGCATTCTCATTTCAGTATAAGTCCATCCTCGCATACTTTGCATGTTTGGTATGTTACATTGTATTGGTTGCATGCTTACATTGCATTACATTTGCATGCTTGCATGTTGTTTAGCTAGTTGCATTGCATGTTTGGACATTGCATGCTTGCATAATAGATTGCATTGCACTTGACATGTTTTGCATCTTAGCCTTATGTTGCATAACTTGAGCTATGTTTGTATACATGCATTGCATTCCTTGGCTTGGGGTGTCAAACCAAGCATGAGGGGTGAGGTGTGTTCGTACTCAAAGTGACGAAACACGTCTCAATCCTTGGGTCGCCAATGCCCTTGATCTCAATATGATAGGGTGTTGGCATTCATCTCTTTTGTTGCATGCATTTTGCATTGAATGGCAAACTTGTCCTCTTAGGCCATCATGCGTCAAAATGCATAATTGATGGCCCGAGGGCCGAGGGTCATGCTCCCTTGAGTCCATTGCATGATAGGGAGTGTAGCCATGCTCACATTTGCTTGAAAATTCCATGCCATACACTGCTTGCCCTCTGCTGCTGTCAACTACAGGATTCTGCAGGAAGAAATAGCTGGCCGGCTACTTTGAGTGCCGACCGACCAAATACAATTAGCCGGTGGCTCAACCAATGGTCGATGATCATTCCCTTCGGCCGGTGGTGTTCCCACTTGGTCGGTGATGCTCCCCAGTGTTCAGAGAAGCATCCTTGGGACTTGTGCAAATTTTCAGAAGAGCAGGGCAGTGTAAACAAAGGCAACAGTGGCATGGTACGGGTTTCCAGGCGAGACGAGTCAAGCATGCACCATTCGCGCATTCCGAGGTAGGGCTGCGGCCATCTTCCTTCTATATTTAATTCGTTAATTAATTAGAAGTTCTGTAATAATTAATTTAGCGGTATTCATTTGGTTGTGTAATATTTTTTCGGACCCTCTGAGCGGGGGCAATTGTGTAATAAGTGTGTGTGAGTGTGTGTATGTTTTTCAACCCCACTTCTTTCTTCCCTTTTATTTACTAGCTTTCGATGGTTTGTATTAGGACATATTTAAATTAGCATACCTTATGTTATGCATGCGTGCATTCATACATTTGTCTTGCATGCACCGGACTCGGCGCATCATACTAACTGCATTCGTGTTTCAATTCCAAATTGAATACATGTTAGTTGTAGCATTTCGCATGTCATTTTAGAATAGTCGAGCCTGCTATAGTTGCATTTTTGCATGTGTTGCATTAGGGACTCCTGTATAGTTAGGATCATGCATGGATTTCTAACATAGCTTTTGTTTTGGCTTGGAGTACTCGGTAAGCTTTTACGCTTTAGCATCCTTTCATGCGTGCGAATGTTGCCATGACAGCATGATTACCATGAGGCTATTTGCTTATGTGATATAATTGTTTGAATGCCTGTAGATGGAGGTTGAATTACTTGAATTGGAATAATGCATTAAAACCGTAAGTTTTAAGCCCACTTGATAGTGGCAAAAACCATCTTTTCTAAAGCCCACTTGAGGGTGGCAAAACCTACATTTTAGCCTACTTACGAGTAGCAAACTGCTTTAAAAAAAAAACATGAAATGTTTTGTTCTAACTCAGGCGATTCAGTCTATACTTGTATGCTGTGCGCATCGCATAGTAAATCTAGGCTAATAACCAGAATAAGAACGCATAATGTTTTCAAAACAAGATATCATGATTAATAAAGACCGATCTTCGGATCGGGCGAGAGGAGGTGCTCATAGCTGACCTTCCCCAATCGTACCCAAGTTCCTGAGCCGAGGCAACTATGGTGATGACGGACACGTGGCCTTAGGCAAACGAGTCAGGGTTTTCTAAATTCTCTCAAAATAAAATATTTAGGTGGCGACTCTGTATTTGGCAAAGCAATCCATGTTTGGCACTTCTTTACAAAAATCTGTTTTTCAAAACGATTTGCCGGATTTGGACTCTTTGGTTCAGATTAAGAACCGTGACGATTTGAGAGTCCGAACTGTAGTGAGCCCAAAACGAACAGAACA